CCGGAATCGCCCGCCCGGCGCTAAACGACTAATCCTGAGTGCAGGTGATATTAAGGAATGATACAAGATATAGAATGATATAGTTGGATTAGGAGCTGGGTGTTGCCTTCAACATGGGCTCCACCCAGCTCGGGACTAGCCTAGTCTAGGACCTGGATGGGTGAAGATTTTCCTGGGGTGCGCTCAGGCGCACAATAATAGAAAAGGATGTCAGCGACAGACGATAACTCGTACTCGAGTGCGAGATATATCTTCTGTCTCTCTCCTCTGTATCCTGAATATCCTGGCTGATATATCCTGGCGGCTATATCACCTGCGCATATTAAGGAATGATACTAGATATTGAATGATATAGTTGGATTAGGAGCTGGGTGTTGCCTTCAACATGGGCTCCACCCAGCCGCCAGAGCGACTCGACGTCGCAGAGGCAAGACCAAATAAAACTGTATGGGCTTCGCTATGTGACCCAAATTGATGCAATATTAAGAATTGGACCACCAGAGAAGATTGTATGCCAAGTACTTTCTTGAGAAAACCAGCATCAATGTAGGAAGCGCATCATGCGAATGGAAACCCGGTGTGAAGAATTATAAAGTGTCTCCACGGGAAAGTAAGGCCCCACCAGTGCCCAGAGCACCACGTCCTGGAGCAGGGGCAGCGTCGAATACGAATCAATCAGACTCAAATGGACCTAAGGATCCTGAATTCTGGCAAAGTGAATCAGGTCAAGAATATGCAAACAAAGCTAGGGTCAAAGCGGCTGAACTTTTAGCGAAGTTTGATTTGGTCATAGATGATAACGAGATTGTTAGAGCAAGTCTCGTCTGTTGGAATTGTGGAAGCTTCCACATGAAAACAGGATTAAAACAAAAGAAAGATGTTAAAGTTGATCTGCGAATTCCATGCTCTTGGATGAAACAGCATGGTAACCTGCCAAAGAACGTGATGACAGTGCGTAAGGCTGTTATTGACGCAGGCAAGGACGCCGTTCTGCCTAAAGGCTGGAGAGATAGAGAGAAGCCCAAAGGAGGAGCCAATGGTACTGGCAGTCCACCTGAAGAGCCACCAAAGGATGATCCAGATGCAGGTATAAGGAATCAGCCACTGAGGCTGCCAGGCAGTGCAAATTTTACCGTAGCAAACGAAGCTTTGCATGATATGTGCCGCAGCCATCGCCTTGATGATGAAGCTGTGCGTGACCTCTACCTATGCAGGCGAAGTGAATTTACCCATGCAGACGAAGTTTTGCGTGTTAAACGGAAATTTCAGGAACAGGTTCAGTCAAAACACAGCAGTTCAGTTGATGGACTCCGTCACTGACGGAACCTTGTGGAGTGCTGACCAGCATCCACAGAAAGATACTGAGGCTGAGGGAGCAGCTGCGAACTCAACCGAAACAACCGCGGAGGCCGAAGTTTGGCCACCGTGGAAAAACGCCGACAGGGATGAGCGAGGGCTACCGTTGCCTGACCAACCCAAAGACTTAGGCGTCGACGATCAGTGGCGAGTAAAACCTGCTACGGATCAAGAATTAATTGACACCATGAAAAGGATTGGTGTGACAGATAACCCAGTGCTCGGGGACTCCATGAAGCAGCACTTCAAAGAGATGATAGCGTACTGTTGGGGTATGTTTGATAAAACCCTTAGACCGGTAGACTCAGACCCGGTTGGGATTCAGTTCTTAGACCCCCGACAGCAGCCTATTAAACTACAGCCATACAGACTCAATGCCCCTAAACTAGCCTTCTTGAAAGACACAATTCAGGAATGGATACGAGATGGAATCATCAGACCGTCAGAGTCCCCTTGGGGGTTCCCAGTGGTCATTGTGCCCAAACCGCAAAATAAGGGCTGGAGAATGTGTGTTGATCTCAGGAAGCTAAATGAAACTATCAAGCATGACTCGTACCAATCCCCGAGGAACGACGATGCACTGGCGTGGTTAGCCACGAAACCTATCAGGTCTACCCTGGACATTAGGTGGGGCTATCACAATTTGATGTTAAATGCGGAAGCGCAGGAGGCGATGACCTTCACCACTCAGTTAGGGTCCTACAGCTACGTAAGGTTGCCGTTTGGACTAGCTACAGCAGGCGCGTTGTTCCAACGTTATATGAATCAGTGTTTAGATCGCTGGTTGTGGACCGATGTGGTCGCTGTAGTAGATGATGTAGCA